GGGATCAGTGGGTTGATTGAAGTGTCTGAGAAGGTTCTGGAAAGTTATGGAAGGGGTGGCTTGTCCATAAATAGAAAGGGGGCTGTCGCCATAATGTTCTAGCTTATAGCGACCCAGCACCCCTTGTACCACGTGGTGCTTGATGGGGGACGAACGTTGACACCTTGTAGGACCTGGATCCAAGTGTAACGACGTTTGGTGGCTGCCAAATCAGTGTGTTCACCCAGATTGTAGGGCTTGAATCGAGTGTGTGAGTTATTTATCACTGCGCAAACCCATCGTTTGAAACTGCAAGACATCCACCCTCCCAGGAAAAGGAATTTGGGAGCTGAATCTGGCTGGTGAGAGGGATCGTCATAGTGCATCGCATACGGGTAAGTGGCACTAGCTCGGGAAAGTTACACGCACGCTGGAACGTGGCTAGAAGGCCCAAGTGGGGGGCTGAATCCATGCAAGAACCCCAATTGTGTCTTCCATGCAGCGAATTCGTCGCCAGGCTCCACATAGTCATTATTAGTGGAATTATGGTGACTCCCGTTTGTTCTCACTAACATATTGAATCGAATCACGTCGTAAGGAAAGACGATACTGTGAGAGAGCGCTGTGACTACTCTGAAATAAAAAGCGGCCCTTTTAACAGTAAACACTTGGACATAGACTTGCTCTGGTAATGAGAGAGGGTCAGAAAGGGTGTGACTCACACTTTAGCATACAAACGCCTCCCCCAAAGCGTGTAGAAACAGAGCGTCCCCCAGCCCCTGTCAAAGAGAATCCAAAATCGACACGGGGAAACGAACAGGGGCACTCGCTGACGAAGGCGCAAGTGCAGCTGCGCCGAAACTGGAAAACTTGCACAGAAAAGGAGTAGATTTTTCTCAGGCATAACGGCATTGATGTAGTCACACTGGACGTCAGAGTATATTCTGATGATGTTCTGGTATCGTTGGGTGGCGTACATAGTTCTGGGAAAACGTAATCAATTGGTTGGATATCTTCTTCAACACCAATCAGTGGGTGCAATTCTGGAAAGCCTTTGGGGGTGCTTTCCTGACGTTGTTTTGCGTCAACTTGTGTGCACACAGCCCTACACTAGCAGCGAGACTCGCTGGGCTGTTCAGAAGATTGCGAACTTGTGTTGGTGTATGGTAAGGTTGTTAATGTGAGGTGAATCCCTTCAATTTGCTGGACTAGGGAGTGAAGTCGCTCGGCTGAAAGGGCAACTAAGTTTCTTGTGGAATTCTGAACGTGCAAGGCGCTGTTGGGACGCGCGGGAAAGGGACACCGTACCCGCAACTTCGCAGCCTGTGACGGGCGTGGTCGCTGGCCAAGTCAGCAGCCCCTATCAATTTGGCTGATTTGCACCCTTTTCGTTGGTCTGTTTGTAGGTTGTATTGTGTCTCTCAATTGTTTTTGTCTAAGAAGTTGGGTTGGGCACGTCCTGTGAAGGGACCTCATAAATCTGACCGTGGCTTAACTGCCAAATCAGTCCCACAGCCCTCCAAACTACGCCCGTCTCCAAAGTCGCCCCAAATTGTGCGTTCCTCAAGGCGTCTGATCTGACGCATTGCAATCTGCCAAGCAACCAATACTTTCTGGACTGCGTTTGCCACTGGGCCAGCACTGGGCCTCTGGATCCACAAGTCGGCGATCGTTGCTTTCATCCACCTCGCCGAGCCTGGGGCTTAGCCGTCGGCACGCCCAACAGCGCTCCTCAGGCGGCCACTCATTAAGGACTGATTCCCAACAGAGCTCTCAACTTGATTTTCAGACTTATTGTCAGGCTCGGCGGCGTTTGAGACGGTAGTGGGCGCTCGCAGACTCGCCGTCGATTGAATGGATTTCGCTGCACTTCTGATACGCGGCGTGGAGGCATGCGACCCAACACTAGGGTGTATCTCGCTGTGACAGATTCACTCGTCGCCTGCACGCCAGACAGAATACAAGGGCAAAGACGCGCAATAGAGCGCGGTCGATATGTATTTGCAGCCTGCAGCCGCGGGCTCTTCCGTTACCAACGATGGTGGCTTGTGAAGAGCGTGTGCCCTGCGCAGCGTGGTGATTGTTCTCATGTCCTTGCGGTTGGGAAGTTGAGTGCCCCCGTGTTTTGCGCCTGTGTTGATTGCCCCCAGCTGAGAGCCAGTGTCAGAGGGCTTCATCTGCGATGGCCGCCATCGACGACGGCGGCGAGAGGACACTGGCGGGCGGCTGTGCGTGCGCAACACATTCATGTTGCGTTGCGGTGAAGACGTTCACCAGCAGCAGTGTTGTGACAATTGGATTGCCCCATTGATGGACATGTTTTAGAACGACGACGTGGATGATCTGAGTCCAGACACCCCACCAGAAGATCTGGGGATCACGCTGAAATAAGTGTGCTTGGCTTCTGCAAAACCAGGGAGGTTGTTTTGGTGCCCACGCGTTGAGCTATTCCCCAGCAATTTTAAAGCAGAGGCTTGTATGGAATGGCTTGCGGAAGTGCCCTGTCTTAAGTAGGGGCATGCGCTCCAAACGGCGCGCGGGCCGCGTGGCCAAGCGTGGGCACGATACGTGCTTCTGTTGCGGTCAAGGTTGCCCCACGCGCCGATTGGAGAAGTTGACCTGTCCGAAGGTGTCCACCACGCGTTGCATCGTCAGACGAATTGAATGAAAGGCCCAGTCCACTCAGAGGCACTTGTATGTGCACAGACCGACAAGTTGTACCTCAGGTTGTCCACAAGCGCTTTCGCGGCCAGGCAATCCCCCTGACGATCTCCAGGGCACCCTAAGATAATCCCACGGTGCATCCCGTCGGGGCACCTCCTCGCCGCCAAGATTCGGCTGGCCGATGGCTACCGGCGCGAGCGGTCTGCTGGCCAGCTCAGGACTCCCTCGGGGCAGTCGTTGCTCGTCAGAAGACCGCCGCACGGGGCAGTCGTCGTCGTGCAAGGCCAACGGGCCAAAGCGCGGGAAGCGCCCGACCCGTTTCGGAGGAGGCCGAAAAGTTCGCGGGCAAAAAAAGTTCGTGGGGGCAAAATGTTCGCACGGAAAAAAGTTCGCGCAGTTGCTCGAGCGCGAAATGCGCGAACTTTATTCCCGCGCGAACTTTTTTACTGATACAGTATTCGCAGAGCTGTTAGCAGTAGCCAGAAATATCTACGGGCAGTATACTCAGGACGCCGAACTGAACTGATTTTCAAATGCGCACAAGTGCTCGAGGTACCCATCCTGCTTTCATGATTAGGTTGCTTCCTGGGCATCCATCACTGGGTACTATTTATGCGGAAATGGGCGCACTTCCCTCGGCCCATCACGCGCCGAAAGGAAAGCAGGTCATACTCAGCCCACCCTCCTTACTGTGTGCCAGAATCTGTTCCGTACTGTGAAACGGTGATGTGGGGTCACCCCGATGGAGAAGACTAGCACGCATCACAAGCAACACACTGGGATTGGGGCATGAGATTCAGGCCGAAGCTTGGCGCAGCAAATCGACAACGTCCCCTCCCTGCTGGAGGCTACCTCCCGACGGCTGCCTCCTTGTCTTGTTATGTAAAATTCGCGATGGCGCCCTGATGTGGTCCCTAATGTTGGATGACAAACTTCTGATTGAAGGAGGCGACGGTGGCCATTTGGGATGTGCCCGCCCCTTTGGGCTGTACCAGTACAGGTAGTCACGTCTGTATCCGCCCTGCCCTCCCGACGAGAGTCAGGTGGCGCTGAGGTTGTGTTTGGTAGGCTTCGTGGGGCCCTGCTAGGGGTTGGCGTTTGAGTTCCCTCCCCTGCCCCCACTCCATCTTGTTTCCCACCCGATGAGAGCGAGGCTCTGTTGGTTGTGGGCTCGTGAGGGAGTGCGCGCGGGATTAGGGGTGCTGAGTCGGAGCGGGGTCGGCACTAATAAAGCATAAAGCACTGCGGAGCAAAGGGCGCACTTGGAGCAATGGGTACATGGGGTTGAGATGTAACTTGTGACGAACACCGATTTGAGTGCAGTTGTGCAAAAGTCCTGTCATGCGGGGAAACAAGTGTGAATGGGTGCAAGACCCATTAACGCAGAAATGCTGTTTGATCCGCTTGGCCAGGAGGCGTGGCTGGGAAGAGAGGATCCAAGCACGCCTGAGCTGACTAACATTCCGCCTGCACCAACGCCGGGTCGAGGCGTGATTCTCATGGGCTGTTTAATATATGAGAGAAGAAGAGGAATGAGGGCACGTGCCACCCCTCAACTTCTTGCCTCCTGAAATGCAGGGCTCCTCGGAGCACTACAATCATATTCAATCACGACCCCGTCACGGTCTCCAAAACTTACAAAACATGGCCAGACACGTACATGGTGGTGAAACTTCCTACTTGAACGCATGGGCGACCATACTTGAAGTGGATAGGACGATGGGGTACAGACTTCACTTCCAATTGCCAGCTTGTGCATCTTCGCAAAGGGGAGAGAGCAATCCTTTGGGAAACAAATTTTCTGGCGCACTTCACCACCTTAGACAATGCCTTCCGCCATTCCACTGAGAACTACTTGCAATGTTTCGGGTCACCTTGGGTATCGCCACGCACACAAACAACACTGCAGCACAACCTCCACTCCAACCCACGCTAATGTTAGCAGACACTCGTGCTCATGGCCAGCAAAGCGTCAACCACACTGCCGCCCTTTTGTAAACACCGTGCACAATGCTCAATGAGGCGGCTCGGGGTAATTGGTGTGGAATCTGGTGGCCGGAACAAAAGGGCTCCCAGGCAAGCCTACAGACAAGACCACGCCGCCATGTGACTGCAGCCTCTCCATATTATTTTCCCATCATTTACAGAATTCGTCACGCATCCCACTGCATCCTGGGGCATGTACAAGAGATTTTACACGGTGCACCTGCATCCCCCCTTTATGACCCGCCACCTGAAATTCGGACGGGAGAGGCGTTAATGGTACAAATGGGTCCCCGCTAAACGTACACGGAACATACACATGCAACACAACCGCAAGCCGCGTTGAAACAATGACGCCCATGATCAGTCACCACTCATCTGATACGATCGGACCCGTTTCGATCCGACATCCCCTCGTGTTCTTGATCAGTCATTCGCCTCGTTGTCTCGTCTGCATTCAAGGGCGCCCAAGCATCTTCCAGTTGCAGCCCGTCGTTCCAAAACCAGCCCTTTGCTGGGCCCACACCACATGGGAATGCTCGCGACCCCCGGCAACCCCCGGTGCACCGATTCGCAATGAGTCTCAAGGCGTAAAAAATAGACACGCCCCCCCCAGCAAGCCTGCCGCCCTCGGGCGGGCCGCCCACTCCGATGGCACCGCGCAGGCGCGCTGGCGTCTCTGTCGCCGATGGCAACAGGCGGCAAAGCCTGCCGTCCGGCGGGCATCCTTCCCCTTCGAGGCCAAGCGTCACAGCCCCAAAAGCATCCCACATCGACTCGATTCCCACGCATTCCCGCCGCTGTGGGGGATTAACTAGCGCCATGCTCCCGCCCCGCAAGGGGCGCAGTCGCGGTGCGGCGGCCCCAAGCCACGGAGCCAAGTTCAATTCCCTTTGTCTTCGTTCGTTTCTCCAAATTCCCTGCCCCAGGGCTGCCAATTTTCCCGAGCGCTGTCCCCCCGCGCACTCTTCCCGCCTGGTCACTCGTCCAGGCTGTGATCGACGTCCAGCGCGTTGCGCACGCCCAGCAGCGTGCACCGCACCGCCGTGGCCGCAGCCGTCGCGGGCGCCACCGCCGCTGAGGGCGCCGCACGCAGCGCCTTGGCCACCGCCGTGCCCATCCCCTCCCCGCCCCTGAAGCTGCGGATCGGCTCCAGCACCACGTTGCTCACGGCGCTCTCCAGGCACGCGGCGGCCTGCTTCAGCCCGCCCTTCACGCCCGCGGCCTGGGGGTGCTGCCCAGCCTGCGGCTGGGCCCCGGGGCCCGCCTTGGTCTGCGCCCCGGGACCCGGCAACGGGTCGGCCTTCCCCTGCAGGACGAGCTGGGCCCCGCCGGCCACCGTGACCGCCGCGTTGAGCACCTCCAGGGTGATGACCCGCAGGAGGGAGACGGCCGAGCGGGCGATGCGGCGGGAGGGCGGGGAGCAGTGGTGGCGGGCGGGGTCGTCTGGTGGGCGGCGGATGGACTTAACGGAGACGGTGACCAGGTCGGAGGCGGCGGTGCCGATGCGGCGAAAGGAGCGGAAGGGTGGGATGCCCGTGACGAACTTGTGGGCCTGCGGAGGCGGGGCAGGAGGGTGTGAGTGGGCATGCGTGATGCAGACGTGCGGGCGTGAGCGCCGTGGTTTCGCGAGACGGGGTGTCATTCTACCGGTGGGCACCAAATGCGAGGCCAAGGCTACCCGTTGGTGTCTTTTGCTGACACATAATGAACTTGTGTTATTGCAGGACCTTCAGCAGTACAGCGCAATTTAAAACGTGGCAGGACCGCATGAAATCCATCATGTTCATGCAATAAAAATTTGGCCCCCAGTCAACACACTCCCATACAATTCAATCATCCATGACAACTCTTCCTGCATCGGCTTGCTATAGAATATAAGCACGCTCTGATGCTCTGGACCTTTGTTGTGTGTGCTGGTTCTAGCTCCACACAAAGCGTGACTTCACCCAGTTGTGGCAAGGAGGGGTGGGGGAAGACCATGCTGTAGCATGGCTCTTTCTGTTAAGGGTGCATTCATTCGGCCCTGCTCAGGACCACAAACATGGTGCAAGGCTGCAGCAATTGTGCAGGTCGCCTGATCGCACCTGCGTGCCAGCCACATCCGATGTCCACTCCTTGCTAAGGGCCTCCACAAGTGTGTCCCATCCCTTCATGCCTGCCAGGCGTATACCCTTGAGGTTGACCTTCACGCCCCCCCAGCGCACCATGTTGAGGACCTCCACCATGCTGCCGCCCCGCAGTGCCGCCAGGTCGAAGGTGCGGGGCCTGTAGTCCACCACGACAAAGAGCGGGGCCACCTCGATGTGCTGGAAGAACATGGCTGCAGGTGCAACAGGGAAGGGGGTCCAGTGAGAACAGGGAAAGGACGCAAACACCGATTAGCCACTGCCGTCAGGCAGTGTGACCAATAAATTCAGGAATTGAACTCCTGGCAAGAACACATAATTCAGCATGGCTCTCTGTGAGCAATGTCCTGGTGGAAAATGCCACTGCACTGGAATTCCATTGATGGGAAAACCCACCCTAAACACCCCAAAGGCTGTGAACGCCGCTGAAAAGCGACCAGATGAGGTGTCAGACCCCAGGCAGGCTCATCAGCATTACACCAGCCTCACTGAGCCAGCATCCTATCATCCAATATTCCATTACCCAGCAAATGAGGGAGCCATGTTTCAATGAGTTCACTCATCGCATGCAGCCAGTTCTGCATCTGCCATACACGCACCGTCCTCGCCAGCCCCACTGGGCGGCGTATCCACGTCCATGGCCGCCAGGCTCTTGCAGTATGACTGTAGGAAGCCCACCACTGCCTGGTCAAGCCGCAACCGCAATGGCGCGATAGCCAACCTCAGCCGGTACTCCTCCATCGACTCAGACCCCTGACGCTCCACATCTGGACGGACCGCCTCCAGAACGAACTCCACCATCGGGGTTCCCACCGTGCCCTGGGGGCCCGGGCTGGGCAGCCCCGGCCATTTGCACCTGTGACGGGACAGGATGTAGCGCCACACACCACCCGTAGAGGGGTCAAGTGCATGGGGACTGCAGTCCCGCAGCTCCAGGGACTGCACATAGAGGGCGCTGCGGCGGATCTGATGCCCTCCCTCAGGGAATGTGTCCATGGACACCGTCAGGCCATTGATCTCCAGCTCAAGGCGGCCATCTGAACGCACTGCACATAGGGCTGTCAGCTCTCAGCAACTCCTGCGCATGGGACTCTTAGGCTCTTTTGAATGAACACCTGGGCTGTTCATTGCCCCCTGGCCAAAGACTGTCATTGCGCACGCAACAGGAAACTTGTGCACAATGCGCACCGCACTCAAGTGAGAATATTTGCTAGTTTGATTTCACATGAATATGATCTTGATACCAGACGGGATATATATGTGATATTTATGTTGCTCTCAGCACTGGAGAAGATGATATTGGAATCTCTGTGTAAGATGTGTGTCATGCAACACAGAGCCACAACAACAGCACTGCACAAATACCATAGGTCAGCCAGAAACGAATATGATCGCCTGCAGCAGATGTTCGAAGCAGCCTTCAGTAGAAACGGCTGTCCACATGCCATTGAAGCAGGTGTGCTGTTCATTGCAGGTTGTCCCCCTCTATATATGTTCTCAAGGCTTGCTACAGCGACTGCGGATGCCAATTCACGCAACATACGGTTCCATACACTGACAGAAATACGCTGACACAGTCTTTGCTGCACATCTCCACCAGGGCACTGGATTTCCATCCATATGGTTCGAAGACCAAATGCACATTAATGTCCAAGATGCATCCATCCCAAGGGCAGAAAATGACAGGCCTTTCCTCAATCCCGCCCCATTACTTTCGAACTTCGAATAGCTCATTATAGTCACCATTCTATCATGTGGGCAGGGCTTTCATCCTCACCTTGCTGAGAAGGGTTACTCTCATGCAGCACCACCATAGCTGAAAGGTTCCTGCACAACAGCCTGACCACAGGGGTAGGGTACGTGTCAGGCAAAGACAGCCAGCCATTGATCGCCTGCTCTAGGCCGCCCAGCATGCCCTGGTCTTTGGGGGTCGGAGCCTGCAGGTAGTTGTCCACCAAGTCGGGAGGCCCCCCGTCATACCACACACCCTGCTGGGCTTCCTCCCAAGGGGAGGAGCTCCCAGCATCTGTGGACTGAGTGTCACTCTCAGCAGCCCGCTCTGATATCCAGTCATCAAGAATCATCACTAGCCGTTCGCCTGCAGGTAAAGCCATATGTTGTTCAGCACAAGTGCCTCTGCACATGCAGCTGCAATTTGGCTGGTTCCCATCTGGAGTGCATTTCCCACAGGTGTTCGTAACTGGTCTACATGACAACCCCTGTGCAAATGTTTGTCATTTCTTTGTCACTTCTTTAGCAACATTCATCAAGGAGTGCAGTGTGCCACCCTTTGACCTTCAACGGGTTTGGCAGCCATAGGTGTAGCCAGGGTGCAATTGAACAGATACTGATATTGCTCTGCCTTCCAAAGCAATGAGACAATGGATCTGCACAAAACTATTCCCAACAGTCTTGTGATATACAGTGCATAGGGATTGTTGCCTGTCGTGCTCTGAAGGCTTGCCCATGCTTGCCGAGGATGTGTGCCTTGCTGCAACATGCCGCTCTGTCCAAGCTATCAAGAATCCTCAACGTGACACTTTGACAGTGGCCACAGTGTCTGTAGCACTGTGGAACAGTAAACTCGTGCACCAATCGTGCACCCCACTCTGTGCAAAGTGCCCTGACAAGAACCATTCCTCAAGAAAGGATGCTGAACGGTCACTGCATCACTGCCAGATTAGACTCACCGTCTGTGTCACTTCCTGAAGGATCCTCAGAGCACCACTGTCCTGCATACCACTCTGAGGCCCCCAGGAGGTTTGTTGTGGGATCGGGCTGCTTAAATGCATCTTCCTCCACCCCATTCAAGAGGTCCACCTGCACACAATGGGAGAGTCGAAGTCATACGTGTGCTTTGGGAGGTGCTATGGAAGCGGTTGAGGACAAACCACACTGCAGGGGGTAGCTGCCAGGAAAGCAGAGAGTATTGCTCATACAAGGTGCATCACTTGGGAGAACCATGGTGATGGTCATACAGCACAGTCGCAAGTGAAATGGTGTTGATCCTGGCCAAACAGGCCCCCAGCTATGTGAACAGGTCCTGATGCAGGCACTGCTGCAGCTCAGCTGCATCCGCACTGCTCTGGTGGCGGTACAATCACGGCTCAACCGCATCCCAATCGTAGCTTGTGAATATAGGCCACCACAGTTGCCAGCCAGCTCATTTAGTTACCACAGTCACCAACCAGAAACCCCTCACCAAGCAACCTTATTTGCGCGAATTTAGCCATGTTCAGTCTTGGAAACGATGGCAAGGACAGAGCCCAACCACAAGGCCTTGCAATTTTGACAGGGTTCACCTGTTGCTGGGCGCTTCCCATCACCGGGGGCTCCCAACAAAGCATTTTCTGGATAAGAGATGTCACAGCTCAATCGGCCATCTTCAAACAGAACACGTCTGCCCGCAAGCA